ACATAAGAAGAAAAGATTTTGAAAATTTTGCTAAAAAAAGGAGTTCAGCAAAAACTCCACTAAACGGCCCCTTAATCTGAATATTTCAAGGATCATTAGCAGCCCCATCTCCTATTCTAGCGTTCACGGCATTGCCATTTGGAATTCTCTTGAGAATCTGCTTTGGCTAGGCTTTTTTAACATCATACTTGCTACACTTTTACGTGTTTCGATATTTTACATTGCACTAAATCTGAGTAACTCATACAATGCAGCGAGCTGGACTGCTTACCACATTCTACTTTCTACTAAATCTTAGGATGTATTCACGTTTACATCGGAATAGCGGTTTCAACCAAAAATTGGTAGGTTGCCTACTGGGAAATTGCAAAACCGCACGATATTGGGCCTTTTTTTCACTAATTTCTCAGGTTCGGACATAGAAGCAGTGGTTTGGGCTTTAAACCCAAAGTCTAGTCGGGCAGACTTTGGTTGTGAGGCTTAGGAACCGAAAATGGTGGACTAGGCCCAATAAACACGAACCCCAGCCCCATTCTTTTTTAGTTCTGATTTTTTTGCACGCGTTTTGGTTTCGTGTTTAGCATCTTTTTTATTTGGTTAAATACCCAAATTTGATCCCTCAACTTTTGATTTTGGACCAATTTCGTCCTGAACTTTAAAAATTGCTAATGTTGTCCCTCAGGTTTATTTTCCTGCTAGAGATTGCTCCTTATGTGACGGAAGTGCCGATGTGGCATGCTAACTTGCCACTAATTTTTACTTTTTTAAATTTGAATAATGACATGGACAAAAGAACAAGCACGTATTGATGACACGTACATTATCGCTGAAATGGATGTCGAACCATAATTCTTTTGTGAGTCCCTCTGTTTAGAAATTTAAATATAAACTAGTATTAATACAAATTAAATAAATAAAATAGGGATCATAGTGTAAGGTAAGTCATTTTTTTAAAATTTTTTAAAAAATTTTATTTAAAAATTTATATTTTAATTAATATTTTTTAAAAATTAATTATTGAATTAAAAATTTTATTCATATAAATTATATATATCAATTTTATATTAATTTAATACTTATAATCCTATGATAAAATAAATTCTATTTCCTTTATATATTTTAATTAAACAAAATTAAAACCCAATTAACTTCTCTCTTTCTCCATTTCTCTAGCGTACCTTCCTCATCTTCCTTTCATTTTCTGGCGTCTATTTCACCTAAATTTAGTAACAATTTAGATCCCCTTCCATTAATCTTAGAATGAATTATATTTTAAATCAATTAAATGAAATTTGATAAGACAGTTTTAGTTTTATAAATTTTTATAATACAATATTAAAAGATCTTTCAAATTTATTAAAATATTTATAAATTAATTATTTAATGTCATATTTTTTAAAATATTTTATATTATTATCTATTTTTAATAATACTTTTTTTCAAAAGACAAGTATATCCCAACAGCCTGCAAGTAATTTTAATAACTTGAGTCCTCCCTCCTTTTTATCTCTTTCATCACTCACTTTTCCTTCCTACTAGCTGGACAACCCCGTTCTGTGGGGTGTGGGACTAAATACTAAGGAAATTAGGTTTAAATATTATTTTAATCCCTCAACTTTTCAATTTGACATTAAAGTTATCCTTTAATTTTAAAAAATATTAAAATTATTTTTAAACTTTCATTTTCGACACCAAAACAGTTCTTTTGTTAGTTAAATGGATAAATGACACGTTACCTTGTTAGTAAATCAATTCTTTTTTTTCCTTAACTAATGACATGAAAAAAAAAAACATAATTGGGCAAAATTTTTATGAGATGACATTTTTATTTAATTTAAAAATAATGATCTCTTTTTTTTTTCATCCAGGTCACCAAAAAAAAAATCTCTTCTACCTCTTTCACATTCTCTCTCCTTTACCTTCCTTTTTCCCTTACCTCTGCAAACCCAGATCTGGGTTTTCTTTCTCCAACTTCATCTTCTTCCTTTCCTTGCTCATCCTTCTTCTTTCTTTTTCTTATTCTTTCTCTCTCTCTCTTCTCTCTTCTTCTTCCTCTCTCAAACCCAAATCTGGTTTCATCATATAAATTAACGATCTGAAGAAGTTGGTGATAATAAGAAAATGAAGATCGACCATGCATATACTCAAGTTGGTAAAAAAAAAAGAAAAAAAGAAAACTTTACATAAGCTGCAAGCTAATTTTCTGTTAATCTTCATCTTATGTTGCTGCAATATAACTAATTTAAAAATTTCAGCCGAATTTAAAGAATGAAACTTTAAGCTAGAAAAAAACAATCTGAATTTCTTATTAACTTCGACGAAAATCACAATGAGAAGCTGATTATCCATTGTTCCCGCAAATTTGCAATTTTAAGAAATTTGTAAAGAAAATGAGTGTTTGAGATAAATTGAAGAATAAGTTTACGGACTTGGTAATGGATTCGGTGTCCAGGCGAGAGACGAAGTCGGCATAGTCACGATTCTTGTCGACGAACTTGAGGTCCTCGTCGACGACGATGGGCTTGCCGACGGGCAGGCCCATGCCAGAGCGGAGGCGAAGAGAGTAAGCCACGGAGTAGGAAACAACTCCATTTCCTCCCATGATCCGTGATGCGACGTTGCTTAATCTGCCTGCCATTTTTCCTTCTCACCAAACTGGAGTTTGGAATCAACATGATCCGAGAAAAACCCAGATCTGGGTTTTGAGAGAGAAAGAATAAGAAAAAGAAAGAAGAAGGATGAGCAGGGAAAGCAAGAAGATGAAGTTGGAAACAGAAAACCTAAATCTAAGTTTGCAGAGGTAAGGGAAAAGGGAAGCTAAAGGTAAAGGTAAAGGAGAGAGAACGTGAAAGACGAAGAAGAGATTTTTTTTTGGTGACGTGCATGAAAAAAAAAAAGAGATCATTAATTTTAAATTAAATAAAAATATCATCTCATAAAAAATATATGTCCAATTATGGTTTTTTTATTTTCACGTTATTAGTTAACGTGTCATTTGTCATTTAATTGACAGAAATATCATTTTACTGTTAAAAATAAAAATTTTAAAATAATTTTAATATTTTTTAAAGTTGAAGGATAATTTTAATATCAAAATAAAAAATTAAGAGAGCAAAATGGTATTTAAATTAATAAATTACAATGTTGAAAGATATAGAAAGAGAGATAGAACACATAGTTTTTTTTTTTTTTTTTTTTGGTAAATGAAATATAGGCTTCAAAAAACAAAGAAATTACATCAACGATTTCTAGGAATTCAAACCCATTAAGTTTAAAATACAAATCTTAACATTCTAAGAACAAATACTTGCACAATAATAAAATTGTTATTGTATTAGCAAAGGAGGTACACTAAATCAGATACCTCATGCTGTCCAGCAATTACTTGATCTATAGATCTTATTAGCAACATATCAAGAATAAGTGCAAGATTTACTACACAATGAAGTTGGGGAATTTTACCTTTAATTTGCATAATAATTGGTAATTAAACAAATGGAATTGGACCAGATAGAAAAAGGGAAAATGTTAATGGACAGAACCCAAAAGCAAGAGGGAGATTTAGACGACAGATACAAATTTAGAGTATGAAAATAAAAAAATTACAAAATTCAGGAAAAGAAAAACATGATAATCATATATCACCCTCTATCAACCAAGAACAGGAAAAAAAAATTTGATAAAAACGAACATCATTAAAATGACTAAGGAGGAAAAATTATAAAAAAAAAAAAAAGCTAAAAAATTGAAAACTGAAGTGCATTTGTGAACCCATAATTTCAAATAGTTATGGAAAACAGGATGGATAAATATTGATAAATAAGAATATCATAACACAAAAGAATTGCCAAAGTATGGATACAAAATTTAAGTTAATTTTCAAATATTCATAATACAAACGACACTAATTATTAAGAATTCTGACTAAAGCAGTCCAACTATGCTTTGAAGTTTCTGCTTATGAGTAGTCACATGTAACATGGATACACATTGTCAGCTTAGGATCAATTGCAAGGAACTCAATACCTCAAACAGTCATGAAGAGGCTCAAAGTAGTCAAATGAGAGACTTAACAAAAGCACTTCGGCCATCCTAATTGGCAAGAGTGCATCTGGCTATGTTAGGTACCAGCCTAAGTGCTAGGCTTTGAATCTCAACCTCCATTGCCAAAAATTCCAATAGTTCAAAAGAAAAAAAAAAATAAACTCAACAAAAGTTTATAACTACAGTAATCTAAGCTATAATTTATCATGTTAGCGGACAACAACTCAAAATAAATTCAGAAAAAAAAATGTT